GATGCCATAGCGCGACGAGGAGCATGCAGGTGCGCTAGCTCATACAGCTCCGTACGCGTCGCACACGCATCCGGAGGAGTGCTTTCGCATTTGTGGTCGTCCTCCCCCAGCAGACCTCCGACGGCAAACCCTGCTCGCCTTAAATGCTTCACACGCACGTTCAAATACATGAAGCCGCCTTCCGCATATCCATGAACGACTTTCACCTCAACTGAACCAAACGCAGCCCATTGCGGGGTCTCGACTGACCTCCCCGATGCGCTGCAATGAAATCCTCCGGCTTGTTTGGCCTCTGCCCAAGACCCTGCAACGTTCACCTCTTGAAAATACATGTCCGCGCAATGTCCACCCAAACGGCGCGCATGAGCCTGCACACGAAGCATCGCGTCTCCAACGCTGGCCCCACGAGGGGTGTTTATCAGAACATGCGTGCCAGCCTTCATCAAATCGAATCGCTCGCCGTGAACGTTTTGAAGATGGGGGTCGCCAGTGGCAGCCGCGCTTCCGCCAGCTCCGCCTGCCATGGGAGCTGCAGGAAGAAATGTCGGATGTGGCGTTGGCCAACCTGGAGGATAACTCGGGCTGGGAGTTGGGCTGGGCGTCGGGAAAGGCGTCGGGAAAGCTGCGGGGAAGGGCGTCGGGAATGCCGCCGGGCACGCCGTCGGGTAGGCCGTCGGGAAGGCCGTCGGGTAGGCCGTCGGGAAGGGCGTCGGATAAGGCGTCGGGTAAGGCGTCGGGGAGGCAGTCGGGTAGGCCGTCGGGAAAGCCGTCGGGTAGGCCGTCGGGAACGGCGTCGGATAAGGCGTCGGGCAAGGCGTCGGGGAGGCAGTCGGGTAGGCCGTCGGGAAGGCATTCGGGTAGGCCGTCGGGAACGGCGTCGGATAAGGCGTCGGGTGCGGCGTCGGGAAGGCAGTCGGGCAGGCAGTCGGGTACGCCGTCGGGAACGGCGTCGGATAAGGCGCCGGGTACGGCGTCGGGCAGGCAGTCGGGTAGGCAGTCGGGTAGGGTGTCGGGTACGAGGTCGGAGATGGCGTCGGGTCGTAGTTGGATATTTTCAACTCGCCCAACTTGAACTCGACTCGCGAAGCACAGGGCCCCCAGCAGTGCCTGTTCATGACCAGCGTACCACCACACAGAGAACCACTTTCAACCCCAGTCCAGGTCGCCCCATCGATGTGAAGAGTGATGCTCGGTGCAGAATCGCATGGGTTTGCACTAGAAATGCGATAGAATCGCCAAGCACTGTCGCACGCATTGCCGCCCAATACCTCGCCCCCCCCCCCCCCCCCCCCCCCCCCACAACAACCACAACAACGCAAAAAAAAAAAAAAAAAAAAAAAAAAAAAAAAAAAAAAAAAAAAAAAAAAAAAAAAAAAAAAAAAAAAAAAAAAAAAAAAAAAAAAAAAAAAAACCGTGCCCCCTGGCCACGTTGAGGCGTGGTAGAATGCCAAGTGCGCCTGGCAGGGTTTCTGCAATCTTCTAAGACTACCCCCCCCCCCCCCCCCCTCCCTGGCACGCTCTCCCATGGCGCCGCCCCCCCCCCCCTCTCCCGCGGCTTCTGGGCGGGCGGGCGCCTCCCTGGACCTCGGCAAGGCGTCCAAAGTGCCCCAGGTGGCTTCCAAGACGGCCCAAGCAGGCCACCAAGGCCGCCAAGATGGCCCAAGATTCTTCCAAGACAGCCTCAGATGGCCCCAGGACGGTGGCCCCGAGACGGTCCAAGAGGCCCCAAGACGGTCAAGAGGACTCCGAGAGAGCCTGTTAGGACAAATTCTCGCCTGTTCGGGCTTCCGTCAGCTCAAGACGGCTCAAGAGGCCTCCAAGATGGCCCCACGATGACCCAAGAGGGCCACAAGACTGCCCCGCGGGAGCCCAGACCAGCCCCGAGACGGCCCAAACTAAGTCCATCATGGCTCCTCGAAAGTGAAGACGAAAGGTGTCACACGTGACGGCTTTCCTCGCCTTCCCCCTCGTCCGCCTCCCCCTCGTCCGCCTCATCCTCCTCCTCCTCATCCTCCCCCTCCTCCTCCTCATCATCATCAGCATCATCATCTCCACCGCCGTCGTCGTCGTCGTCCTCGTTCTCGTCCTCCTCGCCCTCCTCCACCATCACCACCATCATCATGATCGCCACCACCACCACCACCATCATCATCACCACCACCATCATCATCATCATCACCAACATCACCCTTCATCATCATCATCATCATCTGCAGCATCTGCAGCATCATGAGCATCAGCATTATCATTATCATCATCAACATCATCATGATCATCTGCAGCATCATCATCATCAGCGTTATCATCGTCATCACCATCATTATCACCATCACCATCATCATCATTATCATCATCATCATCACCATCATCCCTTCGTCCGCCACAACCCTCCTCCTCCTCCTGCTCCTCCTCCTCTTCTACTCTTCCTGCTCCTCCTTATCCTGATCCTCCCATCGTCGTCATGATCATCATCACCACAATCATCACCATCACCATCACCATCACCAACACCAACACCAACACCATCGCCACCACCATCTTCATCACCACCACCATCATCAGTATCAGCACCAGCACCAGCATCACCATCAGCATCAGCATCCGCATCACCATATCATCGTATTCGATTCGATATCCTGCATCTGGAAAAGCTGGGCTGGCACGGTGGCGGGTTTGCCGCAGGCGCCTCGATCAAGGTTCCTCTCTTGATTGAAACCAGTCAACAAGAGTGACCTGCCGCTTAAACTGAGGACAACTTCAGCATGATAGTAGTTATCACGAATAATCGCCATATAGAACTCGACGGCAAGGATACTATGGAATTCGGACACACTTATCGAAGGCCCCTGACACCAAGAATTCGCAGATCCAGAAGTTCCCCCCGATGGGCTGTTGAAATGGATAGCCTGACCGGAGTAGCCGGCTGTGAATCGCGCCCACCACGAGCTCCCCTGTGTCTGAAGGTTGCGGCCGTTCCCAGAAGAATCCACGATGGTGGACGCGTACCCTGGGACTCCGTTATCGAACTTGTATTCTGCATACACCGTGCCCGTTGTCTGCCTCGAAACGTTGCTCTTGTCCGCCGCTGCTCCAAGCAGTACTGGAACCTTGCTGGACTCGGCGGGGGCCGCATGCATGCCAGCGGCGCCGCGGCCCCCGACTAGGCTGGCAAACAATCAGACACGAGCCATCTACGAATGCTGATATATGCACGGCACGGAGTGCACGTGCGCGCGCTTGGGAGCTGATCAGGCCCAGCTGGAGCCGAGCAGCCTCGAGCCCAAACAGGTGCGGACACAAACGCCTCGCTCTGTGCAGGGCCGCGACGCGGCCCTCTGGCCTGGCCTGGTGTGCGCCGACCCTGGGCCCAGGATCGGTCCGGTCCTGCCAGGATCGGTGAGGTGTATACGTATGTGCTGTCCCCCGATCTTCCTTTCCCCCAACTCTTCCCACTGCGCGAAGGGCAACGGGCTCTTCCCACCCACCCATCCGAGCCTCCGCGGCGGCAGCGGCTGGAGCAGCCAAGGACAGCATCGATCTGGCGGCCACTGGGACAGCGCAGATGGTGCCCACTCCGCTTCTCGCTCTTCGGCGAGCGTCGGCTCGACGCCCTCTGGAGAGGAAGAGGAGGGAGGAGGAGGAGGAGGAGGAGGGAGGAGGAGGAGGAGGGGGAGGAGGAGGAGGAGAAAGGGAGGGGGAGGGAGGAGGAGGAGGGAGGAGGAGGAAGAGGAGGAGGAAGAGGAGGAGGAGGAGGCGCTGGATGCCCCGCCCCTGCGCGGTGCTGCGCCGGAGACGCCGCCACAGGTTGGCCAACGCCGACCCCGGAAAGCTGCGAGGATCTCCGAAGCAATGTCTGCCAGCAGAGAGAGCGCGTGGGCGGCCTCGGGCACCGGGCCGGAAGAATACGCCTGCGCCGCTTTGGTTGCTCTTCTCCTCTGCGCCGTCGCGAGCGGGAGGCGCATGGCGGGCCTCCCCAGACCTCTTCCAGAGGGCCTCGAGAAGCAGGAGTCACACATCCTCTTTCAGTGTTTGAGCGCGATTTGGGCGTTCTCGCCTCTTCGGCTCCCCGACGCTCCAAGACGGCCCGAGTGGCCCCCAAGACAGCCCAAAGACGGCCCACGAGGCCCCAAAGAGGGCTTCGAGACTGCCAAAGCGGGCCCCGAGACGGCCCCAGAGGCCCCCAAGACGGCCCCAAGAGGAGCCCCAGAAGGGGAACAGGAACTGGCACGTCGAGCCTTCGGCCCCAGGAGGCCCCCAGGAGGCCCCAAGAGGCCCCAAAGATGCCCCAAGAGGCCCCCAGGAAGCCCCAGGAGGCCCCCGAGAAGCCCCAGAGAGCCCTCGGCCTGTTGTTGTTGGCGTGGCCAGCTGGGTTTTTACTTGGCGCGGTGCGCGGCAGGATCAGTTGGCTTCATATAAGATCCATCTGCCAAGGAGCCCGTAGTTATGGCATATGGCCCAACGAACTATCCCCTGGCTGGACCAGCAGAAGAAGGAGGTCACCCCCCTTTTCACAAGCAGGGTGCGACGCAGCGATCAAGCAAAAGACGCCACTGCATCGGATGCCATAGCGCGACGAGGAGCATGCAGGTGCGCTAGCTCATACAGCTCCGTACGCGTCGCACACGCATCCGGAGGAGTGCTTTCGCATTTGTGGTCGTCCTCCCCCAGCAGACCTCCGACGGCAAACCCTGCTCGCCTTAAATGCTTCACATACACGTTCAAATACATGAATCCGCCGTCCGCATATCCATGAACGACGTTCACCTGAACTGAACCAAACGCAGCCCGTTGCGGGGTCTCGATTGACCTTCCCCACGCGCTGCAATGAAATCCTCCGGCTTGTTTGGCCTCTGCCCAAGACCCTGTAACGTTCACCTCTTGAAAATACATGTCCGCGCAATGTCCACCCAAACGGCGCGCGTGAGCCTGCACACGAAGCATTGCGTCTCCAACGCTGGATCCACGAGGGACGTTTGTCAGAACATGCGTGCCAACCTTCATCAAATCGAATCACTCGCCGTGGACGTTTTGAAAATGGGGGTCGCCAGTGGCAGCCGCGTTTCCGCCAGCTCCGCCTGCCATGGGAGCTGCAGGAAGAAATGTCGGATGTGGCGTTGGCCAACCTGGAGGATAACTCGGGCTGGGGGTTGGGCTGGGCGTCGGGAAAGGCGTCGGGAAAACTGTGGGGAAGGGCGTCGGGAATGCCGCTGGGTACGCCGTCGGGTAGGCCGTCGGGAAGGCCGTCGGGTAGGCCGTCGGGAAGGGCGTCGGATAAGGCGTCGGGTACGGCAAGGCGTCGGGGAGGCAGTCGGGTAGGCCGTCGGGAAGGCCGTCGGGAAGGCCGTCGGGTAGGCCGTCGGATAAGGCGTCGGGCAAGGCGTCGGGGAGGCAGTCGGGGAGGCCGTCGGGAAGGCCGTCGGGAAGGCATTCGGGTAGGCCGTCGGGAACGGCGTCGGATAAGGCGTCGGGTACGGCGTCGGGAAGGCAGTCGGGCAGGCAGTCGGGAACGGCGTCGGATAAGGCGTCGGGTACGGCATCGGGTAGGCAGTCGGGTAGGCAGTCGGATAGGCAGTCGGGTCGGGTGTCGGGTACGAGGTCGGAGATGGCGTCGGATCGTAGTTGGATATGTTCATCTCGTCCAACTTGAACTCGACTCGCGAAACACAGGGCCCCCAGCAGTGCCTGTTCATGACCAGCGTACCACCACACAGAGAACCACTTCCAACCCCAGTCCAGGTCGTCCCATCGATTTGAAGAGTGATGCTTGGTGCAGAATCGCATGGGTTTGCACTAGAAATGCGATAGAATCGCCAAGCACTGTCGTACGCACTGCCGCCCAATACCTTGGTTCCCAAAAAAACGCCATTGCGCCCCCTGGCCACGTTTAGGCGCGGTAGAATGCCAAGTGCTGCCTGGCAGGGTTTTTGCAATCTTCTAAGACTACCCCCCCCCCCTCTCCACTGGCACACTCCCCCACGCGCCGCCCCCCCCTCTCCCGCGGCTTCCTGGGCGGGAGGGCGCCTCCCTGGACCTCTGCAAGGCGTCCAAAGTGCCCCAGGTGGCTTCCAAGACGGCCCACGCAGGCCACCACGGCCGCCAAGATGGCCCAATATTCCTCCAAGACAGCCTCAGATGGCCCCAGGATGATGGCCTCGAGACGGCCCAAGAGGCCTCAAGACGGTCAAGAGGACTCCGACAGAGCCTGTTAGGACGGATTCTCGCCCGTTCGGGCTTCCGTCAGCTCAAGACGACTCAAGAGGCCTCCAAGATGGCCCCACGATGGCCCAAGAGGGCCACAAGATAGTCCCAGAGCCCTCCAAGACGGCCTCAAGACAGCACACCACGGACCCTGGACAGCCCAGGGCGGACCCAGGACGGCCTGAAAGGACCCCCGGTCGACTCGACTCCCCCCCCCCACCCACCCAGACGGCCGCGGAGGCCAGAGCCCCCACACGGTCCAAGAGGGCCCCAGAGGACGACTGCCCCGCGGGAGCCCAGACCAGCCCCGAGACGGCCCAAACTAGGTCCATCATGGTTCCTCGAAAGTGAAGACGAAAGGTGTCACACGTGACGGCTTTCCTCGCCTTCCTCCTCGTCCGCCTCCCCCTCGTCCGCCTCATCCTCCTCCTCCTCCTCCTCCTCCGCCTCCTCCTCATCATCATCATCATCAGCAGCATCATCATCATCACCATCACCATCACCATCACCATCATCATCATCACCACCACCACCACCATCATCATCACCATCATCATCATCATCAGCATCATCATATCCACCGCCATCGTCGTCGTCGTCGTCTTCGTCCTCGTCCTCCTCGTCCTCCTCCACCATCACCACCATCATCATCATCGCCACCACCACCACCATCATCACCACCACCATCATCATCACCAACATCATCCATCATCCATCATCATCATCATCATCATCATCATCACGTGCAGCATCATCATCATCAGCATTATCACCATCATCACCGCCACTATCACCATCACCATCACCATCATCACCATCACCATCACCATCACCATCACCATCATCACCATCACCATCATCATCGCCATCGTCATCGTCATCGTCATCGTCATCGTCGTCATCATCATCACCCTCACCATCATTATGTTGTACATTCCCTTCGTCCGCCACAACCATCCTCCTCCTCCTGCTCCTCCTCCTCTTCTACTCTTCCTACTCCTCCTTATCCTGATCCTCCCATCGTCGTCATGATCATCATCACCGCAATCATCACCATCACCATCACCAACGCCAACACCAACACCATCGCCACCACCATCTTCATCACCACCACCATCATCAGTATCAGCACCAGCACCAGCATCACCATCAGCATCAGCATCCGCATCACCATATCATCATATTCGATTCGATTTCCTGCATCTGGAAAAGCTGGGCTGGCACGGTGGCGGGTTTCCCGCAGGCGCCTCGATAAGGTTCCTCACTTCACTGTAACCAGTCAACAAGATTGACCTGCCGCTTAAGCTGAGGACAACTTCGGCATGATAGTAGTTATCACGAATAATCGCCATATAGAACTCGACGGCAAGGAAACTATGGAATTCGGACACACTTATCGAAGGCCCCTGAAACCAAGAATTCGCAGATCCAGAAATTCCCCCCGATGGGCTATTGAAATGGATAGCCTGACCGGAGTAGCCGGCTGTGAATCGTGCCCACCACGAGCTCCCCTGAGTCTGAAGGTTGCGGCCGTTCCCAGAAGAATCCACGATGGTGGACGCGTACCCTGGGACCCCGTTATCGAACTTGTATTCTGCATACACCGTGCCCGTTGTCTGTCTCGAAACGTGCTCTTGTCCGCCGCTGCTCCAAGCAGTACTGGAACCTTGCTGGACTCGGCGGGGGCCGCATTCATTCCGGCGGCGCCGCAGGCCCCGACTAGGCTGGCAATCAACAAGACACGAGCCATCTACGAATGCTGATATATGCACGGCACGGAGTGTACGTGTGCGCGCTTGGGAGCTGATCAGGCCCAGCTGGAGCCGAGCAGCCTCGAGCCAAAACAGGTGCGGACACAAACGCCTCGCTCTGTACAGGGCCGCGAGGCGGCCATCTGGCCTGGCCAGGTGTGTGCCGACCCTGGGCCCTCATGGGCATCTGCTCGACCCCCGGACTGTTGCTGACCTGCGTCCGCGCCTTCAGTAGCTCGCTCCGTCCCGGCACCACTGGCTCCATGCTCCCCTGCGTCCTCGACCACGCTCCGGCTACCATTGTCTGCAGCATGGGGGCTGGCAACTATTGCATGTGCACGTGATGTCCTGTCTGGGGGCGCTCTTGAAAACGCGGCTGATCCAGCAGTCCACAGGCACGAACGTGCCCCTGAAGCCCAAAGGGCTGCAGCACGCCTGTCTGTCACAAAGGGGCGAGGGGAGAAAAGGAAACACAGGACAGCCCCTCTCCGTCCTCTCTGTTCAGTTCAGCTCCAGTTGGCACCGCTGTCGGTGCCAGCGGCACCAAGAACGCACCTGAAAATCATCGTTATCACTGTCGCTGCCGCTCAACTTGGCCTGCAGCTGGTCCACGAGCGTCCTCTCCGTCCTCTGTCTCCTCCCCCTCGTCTGTCCGCCCTCGCATACGAGTGACTTCGACACACCCGCTTTCTGCCTCCGTTTGGGCTCAGGCCGTCCTCTCTCGGTGTGGCGCGTGAGCCATCGGCCCTAGGCCCCCCCGTCGCTCGGACGCCCATTCCCCGTGCATGTTTCGATTTCGCGCGCGTGCTTTCTCACAAGATGGTCCAAACGACCCCGGGAGGAGGAGGGGGAGGAGGAGGGGGACGACGACGAAGAGGAGGAGGATGAAAAGGACGAAGAGGAGGAGGAGGAGGAGGAGGAGGAGGAGGAGGAGGTCCTCGACGGCCCTCGCCGAACCAGAGTGCACACAGCGTCCGAGAGGCGCCGAGGCCCCGCCCCCTCGGGGAGGGGGCGGGGCGGTCGGCCCTCGGCCCCTGGCCCTTCCCCCTGCGGGACCGCCGGCCCCCTCGGCGCATCCCCCGCCCGCCCGGGCGGCCCCGGGGGCGCCCCGAGTCGTCGGCCCTCCGGGGGCCCCGTGCCTGAGCCATCGCTCGGGCGCCCGTTCCCCGTGCGCGTCTCGGACTTCGCACGCGCGTGTGCCCGGTTGGGTGCTCCGGGAGGCTCCCGGATGCCCATCGCCGAGGAAGAGTGCACGCGTCGCTTGTTCGACGGCTTCGGGTGCGATCGACTAGCTGACATATCCCCCCCTCCCCCACACGTCCCTCCCTGAAATCCGACGTAGCGAAAGAGAGGCAGCATCGTAAAACATCACGCCCAAAGCCCTAGACCCCACCTTTCTGCGTCGTCTTCCCAGCCGGATCGATCTGTGAGGGTCCCGGGGCCCAGAACAAGGCGAGCACGCCGGGCTCGAAAACATCGAGGCGCCAGGACCTCGGGGCCGTGCGCGCGGCCGACGGACCTAGGCGGGAGCCCGGGCCGCGCCGCCGCCCCCGCACCCCAGGACGTCCGCACGGATGTTTGGTGTGGGAACGCCACGCTGTCCGTGGCAAGACCATCGAAGCCCGAGAAACCCAGGGCACCATGGAGGCAAGCAGGGTGCCTGATGGCACGGGCCTCCACTGCAACTGGTCCCACAAACCCCAGGACTCTTCCCACACTCCTCGCTGCCTTCTCGACGCTCGCCTTCGCTCCCACTCCCCATGCCTGCCCAGACCTTCCCGGCCCCCCCGTGCGCGTGGCCGTCGGGCCTCGGCGGGAGCCCGGGGCCGCGCCGCCGCCCGCGCCCTCCGCGGGCGCCCGGGGCGCGCCGCCCTCCCGCGGGGCCCGGCGCTCGGCCAGGCGCGCGCTGCGGGCGCGGACGACGACTGAAAAGAAGAGAGCACGGCAGGACCACGGACTCTTCGCGCCCCGCGCTCCGCGCGGCTATCCGCGCGGATCAACGCTCGAGCCCTGCCCCCACACCCCCTCCTGAGTCGTGGGGGGATGGGGGTGGAGGTTCACATGTGGCCACCGATTCTTGGATCCGCGCTGGGCCCCGCGCCGGAGGCGCCGCCCAGGAGGGGACCCAGCGCGGATCCAAGAAGTCCGCGCGGAGCGCCAAGAGTTCATGCTTACGGCGTTGTTGCTCCTCTTCGAGATGAGGCGGCGCGAGACGCGGGGCCGCCGCGGCGGCTCCAGCTCGGAGGCCCCTTGCGGAGGCTGCGCCCAGGAGAGCGACCCCTCGGCGGCGAGCCCCAGGGGGGAAAGCGAGGAGGGGCGGGCCTTCTCTCGGCGGGCTCGGAAGGCCCCCCGGCCTTCTGAGACGTGTTCCAAGCAATCCCCGGAGGCACAGAAAACCTCTCAGAAGGCCGGAGGCCTCCTGAGAGATCCCGCCGCCTTCTCAGAAGGCCTTCTCCTTCTCACTTTCCCCCATCGCTCGCCGCCGAACCCCACCATGAGATCTGGATGTTGCAACTTTTTCACACTGGGTGTTTTCGCAAAGTTGCGGGCCTCAGGACCATCAGGCTCGAAAACGTCTGGCGAAAGACAGATAGTTGCAGGGCTCCAGTTGTGCTTGCTCGCCACGTTGCATTTTTTCGCAACGTCGAATCTCAGGGTAAACAAGAGTGACCAGTGGTGCACAGCTTTAGCGGGCCGCGGGGAAGAAAAAGCGCACAGGCCATCATTGGGGGTAACCCCCTGTGGGTCCGCACCAGAGGACACTCTGGCAAAGGGTCACTCTCATACGCGTCGCCGACTTCTGCGGGGCGGGGATTTCTCCATGTCCACCGCCCGCGGACGCGGTGTCCTGGGACCCCGTGGGGACGGTGGGCGTGGATACTAGTATGTGCTGGGCCCCTTGGGTCCAATGTATGCTCATGTCCACCTCCGCCCAACGAGGTCCAGGTCGATCGGCTTCCCAGACAGTGCAATGTGGCCAAAAATCTCCGCCTCAGACCTTCTGTCGCTTCGGTGCTGCCGAGCTCGGAGGTCCCTCCTGCAGCCTCTGAGGCGCAGGTCTGTGACTTCGACTCGAGCTCGGAGGTCGCTTCTGCAGCCTCTGCACCGAGAGCATCTGCTGGCCACATCGGGAGTTTCACGCGCACTCCGTGCAACCGCGCTCCTCTGAGCCCACGTCCGCAATTAGGTCCCCAGTTAGGACCCGGCCGCGCCACCCAAAGCGCCGCCACATACGCTTGGCCTCAAGAAACTAGAGTGGGGTTCACAACGTAATCGCTTGAGCAAAATCGGCTGATGAATGCAGGCAAGGACTACCACGGACTTCTGACAAGCGAGCGCACGGGTTCGTGAAAAAGAGTGCGGCACAGGCCGCTTAGACTTCGCAATGAGATCCGTCACCTGCTCTTCAGCACGCGTACGTGCTGTGCACAAGTGCGTGGCTATGAAGGCTTGTGCTCGCACTCCAACAAATAAAACAAGCGAATGGGAGGATCTGGACGCGTCGGGCCCCGAGAAGGAGAACCGCGAATTCACAGGGGGGTCAAAACGAGGAACAACATTAAGACTCGGGACCATGAAAATGCGATCCAACTTTGTAGTGAGGTGGGAGCGGACAACATGATACATGCTTCAACAGCTGGCATCAAACCTCGGATGCCGTCGCACCCTGAAGGCCACGTCAAAAGCCTTCCTGGCAAGGCTGCGGAGGCACGGCACAATCGAGAAAGCGGTTGCCCTTGAAAGCCGTGATCTTCATCGCCCAGCAGGAGGAGGAGGAGGAGGAGGAAGGCAAGCCGACAGGATGGCATCCCCAGGAATTCGGCGGCACAGGATGGCCCTCCCTCCCTACCTCCCTCCTACTCCTTCTCTTCCTGCTCCATCAAATACTCCTGTGTGCACGGTAGCGATATCAAGGAAACCTGCCATGCGGGATCAAGTGATCGGTGATCGAGGGAACAGTATAGCCACGGGAGGGAATCAAGGATCGGCCGCGCCACATCTTTTGCAGGCGCGGCTACAACTCATCAGGGTCGACTCCCACATCTGATTCGCAGGCTTCTCGGCTGTTGAGCTCCTGGCAAGAATCAATGAAAGGCAACTGGCACTACGACCCTGAGAGTTGTCGGAGATGTATAAAGGGCATACTTCACTCGGCGTCCCTTGGAGGAAGGAGAAGCCCTCTTCGTCGTCGTCCTCCCCCCCCCTCGTCAGCCAAGGTCCCTCCGATTCGGGCTCCCTGGCTGCGCCCTCGGCGCCACCCAGACTGGCACACTGAGGCAACTCCGGGCCACGTAGGGTGGCCCCAACGGCCCTGCAACCCAGATCTCCAGCGGATGGCTTCCGCTCTCCATGTCCATAGGCCCTGGAGCTCTCGGCCTCACTCCCGGGGCCGCGGTTTCTTCGCGGCTCGTTCTTTTTGTTGACGGCCCCAAGGCCCGAAACGGCCAGGAGTGAGCAGAGGCCATGCGGGTGCACCTGCCCCTTTTTTCTTCTGAGGGGCTGGCTGCGCGCGTTCTCTTCTTCTCTTGCTCTCCGTCTTTCTACGCCTCAACGCTGCGCGCTAGGCCGCGGCGCCCAAAACCTGCCCTTTGCCAGCGCGCCGCCGCCCGAGGCGGCAGCCTGCTGGCTGTCTGCCTCCGCGTCGTCGCCCCCAAGCCACGAGCAAAGGCCAGCCCCGTCCCACACCCTGGGGCGCCGGACGAGCTCCCAGTAGTACGACGCTGACTTTACACCTGCACCGATCCTGTCCAGGCCCACCACGTGCCCAGTATGCATGCGTATACCTATATACGCACGTGCCGATGCACTTACATCTACACACCCATATACATACACAGACATACACAACCATCTACTAATACATCTATAAACACGTACCTGTCTATGCACATACACATACGCATACCTATACCCATACATAAACACACACGTACAAATACGCATACACATGCACAGGCACATACGCATACACATACACATGTGCATATGCGCGTACGTGCATTTATGTGTGTAAATATACACAATTTCATACACGTATACATGTGCACGTACATGTACATAGGCACATGCATGAATCCATACATGAACGCAGATATATACACATATAAATACATATGCCTATCATACACACACACGAATACGGATACGTATGGATCTATGTTCAAGATCCAGAAGCATAGACATGTAATTTTATCATTTTATTCGGCGAGGAATGGCAGTCTCAAGATAATCATAACGAAAACGAATTCAAAAAACTCATGCACGCACTCGTCCAGTGACCTTGCCACCAGAAGTGCGAGCAGGAGTCGCAGCCAAATGCTGGCTATGCCCGGCTCGCTGCGCAGACCGGCGTAACTCGCGGTCAACGTCATCGAGTTTCGCACCCTCGGCATCAGAGAGGCGAGGGCAGTGCGACATGATCCATTCCCAGCACTTCGAGCGCCTCGAATCGGAGACGTGGGCAATCAGTCGCAATCGCTGGACGAAGTCTGTGCCAACAGGCAGGGCACGTCGACCCAGCCAAATAGCAGCGGATCTGAAGCCTAACTCCGTGCTTGGCTCGCTGATGGCTCTGCAGGCCTCGGGCTGAAGTGAATGCGGCACCACAGTGGCATACATGGGACTCGCGTCCTGGGGTGGGGTTCGGTGCTGCGATGGCGTCGCGCACCGAATCGCAAAAGAAAATGCTATCCACCAGCACCTTCCAGGAGCGCTCGTCCTGCATCAGGCGCATCCATGCATTAGGATCCTCAGTCAGAGCAGGGAAGCCGTCAGGGAAGAGGGGCCGAAGGAAACCAGCATCGTGTTGTAAGGCTTGGATCCACCGCAATTTGTGCCCTCGGGGTCTCGCACTGAGCAACGCGAGCAAAGACAAAGGCCTAATGCGGTGCAGCCAGGCACAATACTTCAAGCGAAGGCGGGCGACTTCTTGCTGCTTACTGTTCCTTGTTGATGGACCGCGCGAGGGGGAGAGGCGCAAAACGAGCATTTTTACCACGCCCTGAGCGTGTGCTCTGAATTGCTGGGGTGCGTAAAAATTGACACCCCTCACGCAGATCGGCATGGTCAGGGTCCAAAAACACATGGGATGTGCCACATGTCTGACATTCGGTGGCACCCCTCACGCAGATCGGCGGGGTCAGGGTCCAAAAACACATGGGATGTGCCACATGTCTGACATTCGGTGGCACCCCTCAGGCAGATCGGCGGGGTCAGGGTGCAAAAAACAAATGGAATTTGCAACATTTCTGACATTCGGTGGCACCCCTCACGCAGATCGGCGGGGTCAGGGTCCAAAAACATATGGGATTTGCTACATTTCTGAAATTCGATGGCACCCCTCAAGCAGATCGGCGGGGTCAGGGTACAAAAACACATATGATTTGCCACATTTCTGAAACTTGCTTGCACCCCTCACGCAGATCGGCGGGGTCAGGGTCCAAAAACACAAGGGAGTTGCCACATTTCTGAAATTCGGTGGCACCCATGACGCAGATCGGCATGGTCAGGGTCCAAAAACACATGGGATTTGCCACATGTCTGACATTCGGTGGCACCCCTCACGCAGATCGGCGGGGTCAGGGTCCAAAAACAAATGGGATGTGCCACATTTCTGAAATTTGCTTGCACCCCTCACGCAGATCGGCGGGGTCAGGGTCGAAAAACAAACACTCATGATTTAGCTTTTGCATCTCCCATTATCCGAGACAGGGGGCCGGCGACATGGGGCGAAGTCCTTACGGATATGTATACATATATACGTATACATATACAGTTACATGTGCATATGTGAATGCATACACATAGACATACAGCTATGCAAGCACACTTATACATATATACATATATGTATATACACTGTATACACATACACGGTTACATATACATGTACAATTCCGCATGCATATACATATACTTATACAACCGAGTATACGTACCTGTAAAAAGGCAACTGCACTTGTTTAGTCAGGCACATATGCCTATACACACCTTGGACATAGGCATACACATACACGTCTGCACATACGCGCGTATACATATACATATACTTATACACATGCGTTGGGCATAAACGTGTACATGTACACGTATATCCGCATACGCATATATATATATGTATATACATTTATATGTATAGTATATGTATCAATAAAGATGCATATGTCTAGACCTGTTTGTACATGCATAAATGTTAGTATGTGTGTATGTACACGTGTGAACGTATGTACACAAATGTAGGTATAGACCTACATCTTGATATATGTGTACACATGTGCCTGTATACATGTGTAATATACATATATATATATATACACATATATATATATATAACATATATAGTTCAGGTATTTAAGTGCTCAGATATTCATGTGCTTTAGATATCAGCCACTGCCCCCTTGAGGGGCGAGTTGAAGTGTTCTTAGGTCCCTGGTTGGATCCCTGGATCCGCAGTCCTCCATCCTGAGGATTCTGTATAGGGCATGGGCCCAAAATTGCCAAATCGGCTGGAAAACGCAACCCCCGCGTGGCCAGGGGGGCCCGGGGCATCTTCTCGCGTGATTTGTTCGGCTCCAAGAGTGCCCCAAGACAGGCCCAGAGGGCCCCAAGAGGCCGCCCAGACGGTCCAAGGGGGCCCCGAATCGTCACAAGATCGGTCCAACAAGGCCCAAGAAGCTTTCGAGGCGCCACAAGAGACCCGAGCCTTCCCAAGAGGGCCCGAGAGCCCAAAACCATTGACTTCCTATCTGTCTTTTCATGTTTTCGGGTTCTCCGCTTTTGTAGGTTCCGACGCTCCAAGACGGTCCAGGAGGCCCCCAAGACCGTCCCGAGACGGCCCCAGAGGCCCCCAAGAGGGCCCAAGAGGGCCCCAAGACGGGCCCACGAGAGGCCCACGAGGGGGAACACGAACCAAAAGTTCGAGCCTTCCTCCCCGCCCAGGAAGCCCCAAGAGGCCCCAAGAGGCCTCCGTAAGGCCTCGACGAGATCCCACAGGCACGGCGGCGGGAAGAGCCGAAGGCCATGGTATCTGCCTGGCGCGGGGACGGAAGCGCGTACACTTTGTGAGGGCGCGAGGTCGCTGGCTCACAAAGTGTCGTGGAGCCATGCTGGCGTTAAGGCTTTGGTTCGA